AATTTCTGCTACGGAACATTTTTATGCACGTCGGCGTCCTGTTCTTTTGTCTTTTGTCTGTGTGTCAGCGTCAGCTCCTGAGGCCTCTGGCAAGGTCGGGCGCCATTTTAATTTTTGCCGTTTAGATTTGATTGGAAGTTTGTTTCTGATATTTCGGCTGAAATTTATAAGTACAAAGATGTTTTTTGATATAAAGTTCCTTACTTTAATAAAGTATATATGATATTAGTTACATGAAGAAAATGATGAAATCGACGTTTCTGTGTGTAGTAGGTATGGGCCATATTATATGTAAAAATAGGTAATATATTAACTGTTTTTATATTTTTTTAGCTTTAAACCCAAGGATCTTGGGATATTCTTTGCCAAGGATTTTTCCGTATCTCTACTTTAAAGACTGATCGGTGATTTTGAGCAATTGAAAGCAAGTTATACAAGGTAAATTATGATTATTGAACTATTATTAGCCTACGTTAAATTTCTACAAGATGAACAGAAATGCGTAATTACATATCACATAGGTACCTATTATGTATTTTCATAGCAATAATGCTATAAATCTATGTATGTAGATTATTTTTAAAATACAAATGAGGTATTAGATGTATATGTATCATATTTTTTATTCATTTTATTTTCATTCAAGTCCTGTTTGATTTAATTCACAAAAGTCTTATGTAGGTACCTATATTTATATTTTTTACATATTTTTTTTGATTCCAGGTTTTGTGTGGGTTCCGGTTGCCTTTTTCCTGCTTCCAGTTATTTATCCGTGAAGCTGTGAAAACATTTATTTATCTTCAAGTTTCTGTAAGTCAATGCACTGTTACTTTACTAATTCGCTTTAACACAGCATCTCTGATATTATTTAAATATTTAATATTGATACAGTAGTTTATTGGTTTATAGCTCTTTAATTGTGTTGATTTGCATATTTACATTGTTCTAAATTCCAAATAAATATTTTTGAGTAATTTTGTTGTATTATTTACTACTAGAAAGAGTAAAAAGTATATTAACCCTCATTTAAACCTGCTGAACAGCCCGCCATTAAAAACCGGAAACGGAAATAAATTTCATAAAATTGAAATTGTCATGTCTATGTCATGTCAATTGTCCCAGCCGCCATATCTGAAAATTAGTTACCCAGGCAGCCGCGCTGTTTCCATAATTTAACATTGACTTGACACTTCTTGTATTTATTATTTTATGGTTTTTATATCTAGCAGTAACAGTTTACATCAAAGTTACCACACAGGATACAGGTATAATTTCTAACACAACACATTCCAGAAACTCAAAATTTAAACACAAAAATAGGATTTCTGTTCGAATAGATCAAACACGAAAATGGGTTCAGGGATAAAGAACAAGCGCTTTTCAACAAATTTGCACCTATAATTTTGTCACAAATTTTTCATTGTGAGACCCTGAGTCGTTCGTCGTTTTTCGACATTAGTTGAGGTTAGGATAGAATTTCTGCTAGAACGAGGCTAGAACTATAAGTATAAGAAAAAACTAAGTCAAACTCAACCAGTTTTGTCAGTTTCAGTCATTTTTAAGCCCATCCAATATCGACAAACGACCGAATTCACCTCGAATCAGCTCGAATTTCACTAAATGAAAGAACTTAATAATACACGATGCAAAAACAAACAACTGTCAAGATGGATTGTGGATTGTGGGAAATTTTTTGCGCGGGAATTTTAAATTCTCTGTATTACTGGGAGTGGCCAAGCTCATAAATATCCAGATTATCCAGAAGATACCAACAGGATATTGTGTTGCCTTGACGTAATATATATCTATCTGTATGGTTTATTGCATTTTATGTAATATAAAAAGTAGTACATTATTTATTTTTCCTAAATATCTAGACGATATTGTTAGGATATTTTATTATCATGAGCATGTTTGGATATCTCAGCTGGATGTACATTAGATATACGACAGAGATATCCATAGGATATTCTATTCCGAGACATCTATAGGATTTCAGGATGTCTGGAGGATATCCTATAGATGTCTTTATAAGATGATCTTATAATGGGACATTCCAACATTCTATGAATATCTTGCGGATATTGTGTGTTATATGGGATATTAACTTTATTCGTCAATAAATTGATATAAAAAAAATCAAAGTGTTCAAATTTTAATAACGTAGCAAGAAATTATTTTTTTACTATTTTTACACAAAAGAACCATTGTTTCCTTTTATATGGATATGGAGCTAAAACTTTTACTACCAAAAATAAATTTATTATTATTTAATTTTAATTTATTATTTTTTTATTTTATTCTTCTTCTACTTATCTAAAACTCATTTGAAGAAAAATATTTGTAATTTGAAAAAAAATATAAGAAAAACCACCTACGAAATTAAGCCAAAATATTAAGAGAAGAGTAATAAAATCTTCAAAATAAAACCTACGAAATTTTTCAATATGAATAATTAAGAAAATTACTTCCGCGGTCCACACGCAACAACTGAGATTTGTTGCGTCGACAGAATATACCAAATAAAACGTACAGACCAAGTTGTGTCTACATTACAACTTGCCGTTCAGTCTTCTGTATTGTGTCATATTATTATAGAGGACATACCGTATAATCGAAAAAAAAACGGCGTCTAGTTGGCTTGGAAATGACGATCGATGACATTTCCCATATAATTTTACATATAAAATGACAGCGATCTTCATTTCATAGCCATCGCTGGTGCCGTTTTTTCTCAATCATATAGTACAATTTCTCAATCAGTATAGTCACAGATAGTATAGTTTTTCAAAAATGTGCATTTTTAACAAATCGCTGTAACTTTTTTGCTATCAAAAATTTTGTATTTTTGTGAAAACATTTCCAAAGCACCTTTTTACGTAGAATTTAATAGTTTAAGTATAATTTCTTTTAATTAATACTTTAAGAATTAAACTTAAATTAAAAAAATAAATTTAAAACAGATAGTATGATTTATTATATGGGACACCCTGTATACTTTTAATTCATTGAAAATAATTTAAAATTACCTTTCCAAAAATATACCATACTTGATATTTTGCTCGTTTCCTTTCGAGATATAGAGTTTTAAACAATTCGCCCACTTTAAACAGCGCCGGCTGTAATGAAAAAAAAAATTCTAGCTGTAAGCAGCAATTAAAACGGAAAATATATTTGCAATGAGAGATGCAGAATTTTGTAAAAATTTAAACTATTTTTAACGACATCAACACATTTAAACTATATCTAATAACAATAAAAATTAATAGCAAACCAAGACATGAGATTTTTCTACAAGTGTTCGTCATGTCGACCGTCTTCTGTTATGGACAAACGGAACAGTTTTTGAACCTTTCTCGTGGAATTCATTAACTCAGTAGGGGTGAAAGATACCCTCGCATAACCGCTAAGTACTTCTAATTCTATTAATAAGAACTTTTATTCTTCCGCAAAGATAAAAATCCACAGGCACTAAGTCCGGCGGCCACGGCAGCCTCGATGGCCAACGGCTGGAATCTTGGTTAGCTATTCAAGTATTCTCGAAATTGGCTATAAAAATTTGCTGATAACTTCAACGTTCTCAGGCGGTGCCTCGTCTTGCTGGAAAAATATGTTTTCGAGTTCCATTATAGGGGTCCAAAGCCTACGAGTACTAGTTAAAAGTGGAGAACTTATAAAAAATCTGTATTTCGATGGAAACTATAACAAAATATCAATTGTGCTATATTTTTGGAAAGGTGATATTAGGATTAGGATATTAGCAGGAATAATTTGGGCCCGCATAGTCAACAGTAGATAACATTGGACCCAACTACAAAGAGATTATCTAAATATGTGAGGTAGGCTACACCACAATTGGAAATAGTTGAATAAGCTGAAAATGGGGATGATGATATCATAAAAATATATCTATATCATGTAAAGTAGGGATTTTAGGGTATTTGATTAACTGACTAAAATTTAAAAAAAACACACAAATAAAACTGTCTATAATATAATAAAATATGTGCTAACCTTTGAAATCTATGTACAAAAGCTCAAACTTTCACCTCAGTATCGTCTTTGTGCAGTTCTAAAATTTGTTCAGACTTGCTGTCCACACGCTACATTTATTTAATAATATAATTTTTTTTTTAAAACTCTAAACGTTCTCTAACCCAGTGTGAGTACATATTATCAAAGTAAAACCTCTGAAGGCGGGTAAGGGGACAAATAACTCACAATCTTAAAGATGTTTATTTAAATTTTAATGCTTAAAAAAAGCAGGGGGGGGGGCGACATATTTCGGGACTTAAACTATTCCCATCATCAGGCCCAGAAGACAAAAGTCAACCTAGGAAGTACCACCACTCTGAAGAAATAAAATTAGTTAGAGCTGTTAACATTCACACATCTCTCTCATTGTAATTATAAATTGTATAAAAATAAAAATGTATACAATTTATAATTACAATGAGAGAGATGTGTGAATGTTAACAGCTCTAACTAATTTTATTTCTTCTTAGTGGTGGTACTTCCTAGGTTGACTTTTGTCTTCTGGGCCTGATGATGGGAATAGTTTAAGTCCCGAAACATGTCGCCCCCCTGCTTTTTTTGAAGCATTAAAATTTAAACATCTTTAAGATTGTGAGTTATTTGTCCCCTTACCCGCGCCTTTAGAGGTTTTACTTTGATAATTTTTTTAATAACATATTTTTTTTCTGCAACGCTTTGTCGACGCAAATAAATCATACGATAAGTTGTTGCGTGTGGACCGCGCTTTATAATACCTAACTACATCCTCATAACTGGACTATACTATAAAGCATTTAGTTTTCATTGAGTCACTCTGTATGTGTAGGTATGTAGATATATTAAAAATAATTATTCAAAAATCTGAAAAATATATTCATAGCAACTCAAATAAAATGTTAATTAAAAAAATAGTAGTATTTTATTCAGTATTAATTTAAAACAAGTTATTTAAATGTAATATGAATATGTTTATTATGGAGACCTTGCTATTAAACTTATACAAGCTTCAGTTTGAATTAACCTCTAAGATTGTAAACAATATTATCGAACTAGAACAAAATGAAAAGTTTTATTAAATATCCTAAGTATAGTGATTTTCCAATTGAAAATTTACCTTACGGTGTATTTTCTATTGAATCTGATGTAAGTATGTTGATAGTTAATTAAATACTAATTATGTATTATCTTTTATCTTTCTATACTCAGTCCTATTGACTACTCGCATATTAAACACGTTGTTTTAAACACGCATGAGATATGGTGTAATATCAATGTAACGTATTATCGTCTATTATTATTTAAAAGAATGATTAAAAATACCAAGTAAATTTTGTTTTCAGACTGTTCCAAAAATTGGCGTTGCTATAGGAGATTTAATACTTAATTTGAATGAAATTTCACATTTGTTTCAAGGTCCACAGTTGAAAAAAAAACAATATGTTTTTAAAGAGGTAAAACCAGATTATTTCTATTAACACACAAAAATTTATGCGTAGAGAAAATATTTAAATACAAAAAATGTATTCGTTAATAATTACAGAGTTCTTTAAATGCGTTTATGGGCTTAGGACAGCCTGCATGGAAAGAAGCTAGAGAAACCATTCAGAAACTTTTATCAGAAAATGAACCATTATTAAGAGACAATGCTCAACTTAGAGAAAAGTACAAAACGCCCACTGAGTTCTTAATAATTAATGGTTCACTTTTAATTTTATGATTTTAGGGCATTTGTACCCCAATCAAAAGCTACTATGCACCTGCCCGCTAAAATTGGGGATTATACAGATTTTTATTCTTCAATACATCATGCCACAAATGTGGGAGTTATGTTTAGGGATAAAAATAATGCCCTCATGCCAAACTGGTAATTATCTACATTAACTATTATATTACACATTGTGTCTCAAAAAATCTGTGCAGAATTACAACACAAAGTTCTGAATTTTGAAATTGAATAATGTGGTTTATAACCAGAATTTTTTTTAATTTGAATTCTTCTTTATTACTATTACGAACTCTTTTATATTTTAATAAAGTAAAAGAAAATCGAACGCCTCTTAAAAAAGATAAACAAGAATTTCAGTTCAGCCGTATTGAAAAACCTTCGCGGTCTTGCTAGTTCTCTTGATGCTTCTTTAGCCTTTTTATTTAATAGAAAATTCAGGTATTTATTTAAACAAAATTTGTGGTAGAATTCTGTAGAGACATTTCGAGGACACTCTATATACAGATGGTTATAAAGTGTAATAAATTTACACCTCCTTTAAGGAAGTATTTACCAGTGGGGTACCATGGAAGAGCTAGTTCAGTTGTCATATCTGGAACTCCAATATATAGACCTCATGGACAAACATTAGCTATAGAGGGTATAAAAACCAATATACAGGGTTATTTACGAAAATGGTGGATTTGTTTATGGAGAACTAAAATAAATTAATTAATTATTTTTTAAAGGTATTAAGAAAACGCAAGGTTTAGGTATAGGAACATGATATACCTATTGTTCCAAAGAAATTTTATTAGATTATTGAATTTTTAAATCATATACAGACTGTCCCATTTTCGTATATTTTACAGGGTTTCTCGTTTATTAGCAGAGATACAATGATGCGGTTTTCACATCACTTTGCTACTTTTTTTATGGAACTAAAGATGATACACACATATTTGTCCTAGCCCTTTTCGTTCCTCACATACAGGACGAATTTAAAAATATTGCATAAACAATATACAGTTTGTCCCATTTAAAAAAAAACGTAAGTTTGACTCATATTTCTAAAATGACTTCCAGCAAAAAAAACTATTTACGCTACGTTTTCATCTTCTCGATAAGTTATAAGTTAACCGAGATACGAAGGGGGTCGAAAAATGCAATAATTTCAAATTCACCCTGTATTTCACAAAACAAGAGGGCTAGAACAAATTTATGTGTAGCATCTAGTTCTATAAAAAAAAGTAGCACAGTGATGTGAAAACCGCATCTTTGAATCTCTACTCATAAACGAGAAACCCAATAAAAGACACGAAAATGGGACACCCTATACATAGGGCTCAATTTAGAATAAGAAATTTTAGATTTATAAAAAACGGAAAAAAAGCAAGATAAATATATTTTTTATCTCTGTATGCGATATCCAGTCGGTTGCTTTAAGGCACATTCTAACGATTCGTGTACTTGACAAACATTTGTAATTGGTATACACGGTGCGTCGGGCATTTATACAGAATTTTTAAGTTATTTATTATAGGATCCACACCGCATTCCCACAAGACCCTGTATGCCAATAAGAAAAATTATAACAAATCGAAATAGTTTCCAAAAGTGTAATACTTAATATACTGAGTGATTCATTTAAAATATCAAAAATGCTACTACTTTTCAGCGCGAGAGCAGCAGGTGCCTTTATTTAAAAATCAGCGGTTCTCCATAAATGTCTACCCTATACCGGGTGCATCTCAAAAGTGACTCACCCCTATAACTTTTTTTATTTTTTCAGATAAAAAAACGGGATTTGGTTTGTTAGTATATGACATAAATTAGAATTGATTGGCATATTCAGTTGTTTTCGGCTATTTCCTGTTTCACCGGAAATGACTACAACTTTTGATTTTTAAATGGCATCCTCAGTATTTTTTTACTTTCTTCGATAAAAAATGTTACTCTGAATAGAATGACATATCATGTGTCAACTTTTGATATTTTCGCTTAAAACAAATTTGTAATTTCCATTTCAATTTAGAGTGCCATGGCTGTGTTAAAAACAATAATTTTTAATTATAAGGAGCCTTGGAAAAATAGATTTGATCGTCTAATATTTTAGTTTCTTGTCCTGGCCGGTTAAAAGATGCCCAAATCATATTTTTAATCATATCTCAATTTTTTCAAATGGAACGAGGGTAGCTCATTAGCATATTTGGAAAAAGCATTTTTTATGAATAATTTGGTACCACACACTGGTATTTCGAGTCAAATTGTCGTTATGCATGTCGTCTGCATATTGCAATTTCAAATAAACCATATTCTAAAATGACAAAAGGTGACATATATGATATGCCATTCTATTCAGAATGTCATTTTTTATCGAATAAAGCTTAAGTAACAAAATACCGAGGGTGTAATTTAAAAATCAAAAGTTGTAGTCATTTCCGGTGAAACGGGAAGTGACCATCAAAAACAATTGAATACGCCAATCAATTCTAATTTATGTCATATTCTAACATACCAAATATCGTATATTTATCTAAAAAAATTAAAAAACTTATAGGGGTGAGCCAGTTTGAGACGCACCCAGAATGCCATCGCCGAGAATCACCCTTTTTTTGAAAAATAGATTTTATTAAATAGCCTTTTAGGTGCTCCGCCTGTTTTTGGTCCTTGTAAATTGATGGATTTCGAATTAGAAATGGCATTCTTTGTTGGAACACCTAATAACCTCGGTGAACCGATATCAATTTCAAACGCACACAAGCATATTTTTGGATTTGTAATCATGAACGATTGGAGTGGTAAAATCATATTTATTCAGACAAAAAAAACTAAATAAATTATATCCTGATTATTTTAGCAAGAGATATACAGAAATGGGAATATGTGCCATTAGGACCCTTTACTGCCAAAAATCTTGGTACAACTATATCACCATGGGTAGTCACTACGTTAGCCCTAGAGCCCTTTATATGTGAAAACTTTCCTCAAGATCCAGAACCTTTTCCATATCTAAAGCATTCTGATAAATTTAATTTTGACATAAATCTTCAAGTTGATATAACTCGTAGGTCAAAATACGGCATAGTCTAGTCAAATTGTATTTTTTATGGAAAGTTTTGGTGTAGTTCTGATTTATTTTTTTCTTTATGTTTTTTGGAGTGCTGAATTCGAATCCGATATTTACTAACTAAATTTGGTGACGGAACATTGAAGAAAATGCAAAATAAAACGTGAAAAATTGCGATTTTTGAGGTTTGTTGCTAATAACTACAACAAATGTATTTTTTTCAAAAATAATACCTCTACACAAAAAAAGTAGACAAAATTCTCTACAAATTTAATCTTTATATTTTTTCCTCAGACTATCAGATTAGGCTCTAGCGCTGGTTCAAGATAAGCGTATTTTGAGCTATCGCTTCAAAATCGATATTTTTGTTGAAGTCCATGTATATAAATTCCTTTATCTACGACAGTGAGTTAAGAAGCTCTTAACTCACGCATTTTGAGTGAGTTAAGAGCTTCTTAACTCACGCATTTTCATTACCGCACTCCTTGTTCAGATGACTACTAAAGAGAAAAAAAATATTTTGTAAAACATTTATTTTGCACTAAATACCTACTTAATACCAAACAATATGTATATTCAAATATTCATACTTCTGTTTCGATCTTGCTGGAAGCAATCCAGAAATGAATGCTTCTTCTTCAATGTCAGAGGGAATACCTGGGAATACTTTCCGAATCGCTCGTTTTTTAAACTAGTGACATCAATAGTACTGTCATATTGACATTGCCATGCATGGTGTTATTTGAACAAAGGTATTAAGGTAATTGATTTTTAGGATAGGTATATAGTTAAGTGCAATAATTTTTAAAATTCATTGTGTGTTTTTATAGTTAGACGTAGATAAAATATTGTACAATACACGCGAGTTAACTCCATTAAGATACTTGTGTAGTTACACAACTCGTGCTACGCACTCGTTGTGCAACTTTCACACGCATATCTTAATGATGCTGTTAACTCACTTGTATCGTAAATATCTATTATACTTATATAAATATAAATATAAAAATACGCAACCACAATCTTCTAAAAGTAGCCATTAAATATGAGAAGGGAGAAAAAGAATAGGAGCTAAGCTCGAACCGCAAAAAATCATTAGCTCAACGTTTTACGATAATCGGAGGTGGTATAATGGTTGTAATCGCTGTCTATATGACATTTAACTTAGAACTAAAGAAATACATACGATACATACTAAACTTTAATAATAAATGAAGAGTATTGGAGTACAAAATTTAGAAAAGATTCTAATTGCTGCTAATTTTCAACTGGTCAACTGGCGAGAAACAGTCCTTAAGACTCTATTACGCTGTACTTTCGGGTCGCTCTCAGGGGTCGGGTAAAGCGGGTGTGTGGCCGAAGGAAATATATGTATATTATATTTCAGAAATCTGCCTAAAGCTTAGCCCGATCCTGTCATGTTAAGCCACATCCAAAATTCCAAACACACGTGCTTTGATTAAGGTTTGCAGAGCTTCAGCATTTGCCATAAGATAGCGAGCAATTTGTTACAAAACCATATAAATTATATATCACTGTAATGGCAAAACTTCAATCTATTTCCGTATTGTAACGAAATTTTAGATTATCTCTTTATTTTCGAGAAAATTTAGTCCAAACATAAGGAATATTTTGTTGATGTTTGACCATCAAAATCTTAAAAATAAAGAAGTTGTCTAAAAATGTGCTACAATACGGATATAGTATAATCCTTTATCTTCAATTTCCTTCTTCATTTGTGTAAAAATACCTAGCCAGTTTTACATAAAACGTTAAATACCTGACGCTTATTTTGCTACTTTTTCGGACTAGTTTAATGGACTCTTAAAACTTAATTATCAAAAATTATAGAAAAGTCTATTAACTTTAATTTTGAATATGAGGATTATTTACAAAAAGTTGATATTTTTAAAGTTATAAACAAAAAAAAAACACAAAAAATACAATTTTTTTCCAGTTTTTTTGCATTTGTCAAATCTCAGATTCAAATTCAGCACCCAAAAAACTAAAAAATAGAAGAAATTAGAACTACTTCAATACTTTCCTGCAAAAGGCTTTTTTGAGTACAAGTTGACTAGATTAACAGCACACATTTAAATCTATATCTATTTTTTTCAGCAAAAGATTCCAATGTGTCAACAACTGTGTGTCGCTCGAATTTCAAATATTTGTACTGGACAGTTAAACAGCAATTGGTTCACCACACAATCACTGGATGTAATGTTAACCCAGGAGATTTAATGGGCAGTGGTACAATTAGTGGAGATGTATGTAAATTTGTTATAGAAATGATAGGAGCAATTGTAATGAAATGGCGTCACAGTAGGCGTAGAATTTGTATTTTATTTCGAGCTTTACTATGTCTACCGCTGAAATTCTTAATATATTTCTGTCTATGTAATACATTAAAATAATTATAATGTAGTACACATAAATAATTTTTAAAATACCCGTTTCTTGTTTGTAAAACTTAATATTTTTTTACAGTTACAGTTCTTATACAGTTAAATTTACTTGTTTACAGTTAATATTTATGAAGAATTTTCTAAGCACGTATTACTAACACCGTCAAAAAACTTAAGTGATAGATATAGTAATGTTTATTAATACCTCGTCTAATATGACGCCGCTTTTATTCGGGTCTACTGTACTTTATATACAGGGCGGCCCATTAGTGCGAGGAAATCCAATAATGTCTGGTTGTAGCACAAATGAAAAAAAGTTTTATACAGATTCTGGACAGTTTTTAATGGTGCGTATCATAAAAACATTTTGTTGTGTACACATGGTGTCACAAAAAAGAGTTATGATAAAGTTTTAAGTTTTTTAAACTGCACCCCCACACCATTTTTCTGTAGAAAATTGGATTCAGCATAACATTCCGCATATAGTACACTATTTCTATTTGAAGCTAATATGTGGTGTTGCCATTCTATTTCTCATTCTAAAACGTCGGTTATAAACACTACCGGGTACGTCTTAAAACTGGCTCACACCTATAACTTTTTTATCTTTTCAGATAAAAAAAACGAGATTTGGTATGTTAGTATATGACATAAATTAGGATTGATTGACGTATTCAATTGTTTTCGGTCACTTCCTGTTTCACCGGAAATGACTACAACTTTTGACTTTTAAATGGCATCCTCCATATCTTTTTACCTTATTCGATAGGAAATGGCAGTCTGAATAGAATGACGTATCATATGTCAACTTTTGACATACTTGCTTAAAAAAAATATATTTTAAATTTCAATCTAGAGTATCTAGAGTCTAGCTGCTATAGCTGTCTTAAAACACTGATTTTTAATCAAGGAGCCTTGGAAACATCGATTTGATCGTGTCTTGTCCTGTCCCAAAAGATTCCCAAATAGTATTTTTAATCATATCTCAATTTTTTCAAATGGAAAGAGGGTGGCTCAAAATAATTTCGTACCACACACTTGGTATTTAGAGTCTGTCGACTAGACACTTGGTATTTAAACTGTCGTTACATTTATGGCCACGGCATTCTAAATTAAAATTTAAAATGTAATTTTTTGCAAAATAAAAACACTAAATGACCACAATACACCAAAACACTTTTACTTTTACACTGGACGCGCGTTTCGCTAACCATGTTAGCATCATCAGCAGATTATTATAAACTGAGTAGATGATTATAAACTAGTTTATAATCATCTGCTGATGATGCTAACATGGTTAGCGAAACGCGCGTCCAGTGTAAAAATAAAAGTGTTTTGGTGTATTGTGGTCATTTAGTGTTTTTATTTTGCTGTGTAACACCAAAGGTTCCAACCCTCAACTGTAATGTAATTTTTTGGTTAATCAGAAATATCAAAAGTTTACATTTGCTATATCATTCCACTTCATTTTCATTATAGGTATGCTTTATTCCATTAAGAATGTAATCAAATGAAGTAAAAAAATGTCATATAAAAGAATTTGTTATTTAAAAATCAAAAATTGTAGTCATTTCCGGTAAAACAGGAAGCGACCAAAAGTAACTGAATACGTCAATCAATCCTTATTTATGTGATATACTAACACACCCAATCTCGTTTTTTTATCTGAAAAAATAAAAAAGTTATAGGGGTGAGCCACTTTTGAAACGCCCCCGGCAGTGGCGTATCCATCCGTAAGTTTGGCGTAAAATTTTGAACATCCTGTACAATATACGATTACCATATTTATAGCAAAGTAAGTACAGACCATCTAAATTAAATATCTAATATAGTTTTGATTTTAGGACAGTTCTTGTATTTTTAATAATTTTTTTTAAGAAAGGCTGAAAAATATATATATTTTATTTATTTATTAATATCTTTGAAACTATCGAAATATATTTACTCATATTTTAGGATTATGTAAAGTGATCTGAAAAGAAGCCAAAAATGCAATAATACACAGGGTGTTTCATTTAAAAAAAATCATCCCGATCCGCTCACTTTTTTAAGACACTCTATAGAAGTTAAAATATTTTCTTGGAATACATCCTAAAACATATTTTAGACACTTAAACAAAATTCTAAGTTTGTTATTCTAGGAGCTATTGCTGGACCCTGTATATTCGACAATGATGACGATATTGGACTTCCTCTCACTAATGGGCTACCCTGTATATAAACTTAGCAACATATTTTAATTGCACTTATATTAAATAAGAAGAACTACTAAGTAATATTCATTTTCAGGCGTCTGATTCTTTTGGTTCACTTCTTGAACTATCATGGAAAGGAACAAAACCAATATCGCTAAATGACGGAACACAAAGAAAATTCTTACAGGATGGCGATACTGTAACAATGAGAGCATTTTGTGAAGGAGATGATTACAATATCGGGTTTGGAGTTTGCGCTGGACAACTTTTACCCGCCAAAAAATTAGCATTTTAAGAAAAAGTTACATATATCCGGCGATTACGAGTTATAATAATGTTCAGTTTGCACAAATTAAAATAAAATATACTATAGATTATATAAATTCCAAAAATGCTTATTATTTAGTTTGCTATACGTATCTCTAAAAAACGTAAAATCTAACAAGAACAAAGGGCAGCATCAAGAAATTTGTGAAATCTATTTCATTTATGTGTTTAATAAAAAAACGTGTATAGTGTATTTAATATATTACAACCTGGCCATAGTGGCCATTCCTTTTATATTTTACAGGTTTGTCCTTTTTTTGACCTGCTGTGTATCGTGGGTGTTTTGTACAATGTCCTCTATTTTGATGATAAAATATATTGATGTTATATTTGAACCGAGATATAGAAAAAGGAACAAACCCGCAAAATCATCATTATGAATAAACGACGAAACAACTCTGGTAATAAGTAATATTAAAAATGGCGTCTTTTTACTTCCCAAATAAAAATAAAATTATTATAAAACAAGAAAATAAAAATATAGACATTACAAAAGAAAAATAACACGCTGGTATAAAACAAAACATAAATACTGCAACCAAAAATATAAACAGAATAGCAATAATAAAATACATAAACAAAATAAATTAAAAAAAAATATATATTTAAATAATTAAAATTAATAATAATAATAATATTAATGGCTCCCGTATATAGCGTTTAACGCCTTGGGAGTAGCAAGGTACAGCTTGCTATACTAGAGCCGTTCGGTATACAAGGAAGGTAATGTGGCTAGCACTACGCTTCAACCGCCTATTATTACCTCAGGATTGTGAATCCCAAGTACTCATTTAAGGCTGAGTCGACCTAGGTACCCAAACTATTTTTATTTTAATAAAAATAGTCGGCTGATGAAATGCCGGGTGTGGGAATCAACACACACCTTGAGATTGGTAGATGAGAGCCTGTACCTCTACGCCACCGGGCACTTATTAATTAAAATTAATAATTATTTTAATTTTTAATTTATTTGTAATTATTTTTATTACGTTTTGTATACACTAATATACACGATATACACGATTTAAAGGGCAACCGTTTGGAAGGTGGTTCCTATTTATATCTCAGTCCATTTTTTATTTAAATAGAAAAATTGTAGGAGAAACCATTTAGACGTAGGTCTCCAAAACATTTAAACTGCGGCCCTATTATATTCCTTCCTTAGTCTTTTTATTCAAAGATGAAAACTAACCCACCTTTTAGGCTTAAAATTTTAAGCAAAGGATGTTATCGTGGGGACTGTAGTAAAAAAGAAAAACAAAATTATCGGGCAAAACCTACAGTAAGATTAGCCGTGAAAACATATGACTAAAATATGACTACCCGTAGACACTTATGTTTCTGCCTTCCAGCTTCAACAATACGGGAGGAATCAGCAATGATGAACTATAGTACTATTCTTTTAAAAGTTCCTCAATATGGCCGACCTAGTTACGAAAATTGGTAATTTTTTTTTAATGAAAAATAAGTTGGCGTTAGCGAATTCAGAAATTGATTTACTCTTTGGTTAACAATAATATTTTTCAAGATTGTCAAGTTGACGTTAAAGTTAGGTTATTAGCTGGTTGTCATAAATAAAAACATAGATTATTGAAATTATTTAATAAGAATAAAGGTATTTTACCGCAGATCCAAAGAGATTTTACTTAAAGGTATTTTATAAACTTTCTCAGTGAGAATATTAACTCCCCTGTTTCTTATATTTCAGTTAAGGGGACGTAAGAACTATAGGAAGTAAATTTTTGTTTTCATGTTTTGACGATATCTGAGAGTTCCTAGAACTATCAAGATTATTGAATAATTATAGTTGTTTAATAAGTGAAATTAATAGAAGACTTGGAAATAGGATGATGCTTTTCATGTTGTAGTTGATAAATCACCCCATTTCTCTTAATTTTTTTTTTCAGTACAGTTAATCACAAATTAAATTGATGTGTGCAAAAACAGCTATATATTTTCAAACATCTTATTTAAATAGTTCTTTTATATACTATTAAACTGTATCAACTACAAAGTATTTAGCAAAAAATTATAAGGTAATAAATTTTGTATATATAATTTATGAAAATTTATAATATATAAAGATTAGAACACAATCCTCTGAAGGAAAAAGAAATACTCAAAAACTCATTAAATATACTTTATTAAAAATAACAACATACCAAAACATCCATGCAAACTGTAATAATCAGAACATTATCCACATTATACCTTTATTAAATTTGTGTCCACACTCCTGCCAGGAAATCCAGAAATGTTTGTTTAAATATTAACTTATTTTAAATTGCCAGAAACACATCAGAATATATCACAACCACAACTATAGGTTAATCTGTACTAAATTTTATACCGAGTAAGTGATGCGTTAACTAACAAGTATAGGATAAAAAACAATTATTAATATAGAGTGTACTATACAATGTCCTGCTTATTTATGAAATGACTTTCCCTTCAAATGTGAGGAATACCAGTAAAATAAAACATAATTTTTGGTTTAGTTTGGTGTTTGATATTCTAACTACATCTATTACAAACCTTAAGTGCTTTTAGTGAGTAATTGTATTTTTTATTATTCCTTGTGTATCCTGTAAAGTAAAAAAATATTTCAAGAAATATAAAAACAATGCAATAGATATCAAACAGATTCATAAAAACTACTTACAATTATTGTACATAATTATATATTTCAAGTGTTATTTGATGTTTGGTCCCATTACCAACATTACCTTATTTAGGTCTTCTCTACCAACTCAACTTTTAAACCTGTTTTAAACCTTCTTTATATTTTAAAACTGATTTACAACAATCTGTAATGCCCGCGCTGTTTCCTGAAATATAAGTTTTAATCTATTTATTATCATATAGTAGATATTACAAACCTGAAAATTACTGATACGAGGAAACTTCTCAAAATAATTATAATAATACCTTTTACAAACATCTGGACTAATTTATTTTCACGAATTTATGAACGAGCCAATGTTTTCTAATACGTTTTTAAGCGATTTACACATTTTGAATATCTTCCAGCCTATTCGTCAACTCTTGATCGGTGAAAAGATTATTTATAACTATATAATTAGTACTGCAGGTTGCAGGTTAAATAAAAGAACAAAATCAAGTAGAATTTGTGAATAAAAACTAAAAAAATAATGAAAATATTTAGAAAAAGGAACCGTAAACGTCAATGTCAGCCAAGTGTCAGAGTTCAATTGGATTTACCACAGATTATCAATTTGAACGATTTGAAGTACAGTCGATTCCAGTTTAGAGATTTTCGTTTTTTAAGCCTCCCATACTGAAGTCCGCCATATTGGGAAGTTTTAAATGAATACAAGTATAGTGATCCTGAAAAACGAAAAAGGGGGGCAAACGAGGAACGAGGCACCATTTGCGATTTGCGATTTGCGACCTGAAAAACGAAAAAGGGAAGCAAACAAGGCACGAGGCACCATTTGCAACCTAGTAAAGCAGTAACTCAATTCTATGCTCAATTCGCGAGCATTAGGGTGCAGCCACGCTATCCTAAAAACAGCGTATCGGCGTAACGGCGTAATGACGGCGTAATAGATTTCCAGTAATTCTATTGGCTGAAACATTCATCTGTCAGAAATTTTATCTGTCAAATTCATCTGTCAAAAATTTCAGCCAATAGAATTACTGGAAATTGATTCAAGGTCGTTACGCCGTTACGCCGATACGCCGTTTTAGGATAAGTGTGGCACACCTGCTCAAGTCTCATGCATCCGAAATCCGATGACACGATAGATCCGACGGTGCTCTATTGGTCGAAATATTTTGACAACAATTTTTATCCGATATTTTTAACTAATCGTCCGACGTCGTATAAAGTTAAATTTTGTTTAACTTTTGTACGATATCGTGTGTTTTTTAACCTCACTTTTTTTGAAAACATTGGTTTTTAAAAACAAGTTTAGTGGGAAGTGGGCAATTTCGGGATATTTGGCGAGGAAGTTATTTTTATAAGTGTTTTTCCAATAAAACATGACATGAATCTCTATTCAGCGCAGCAGAAAAATGTTAAAACTGTCAAATTTCGGAACGAACTTTCGGATGTATGTGACAGGCTTTTTTTATTTCACACGATAACTTCAAATTTCGGATGTCGTACCATCGGATTTCGGATGCATGAGACTCCGGCTTTACCACCGAAATGCCATCGAAAAACCGCTGAGGAGATAATCAGTGGCGGATACAGAAAGAATACCATAAGAATTTATAGTTTTGTTTTGTGTTCAATGTTACTTATTGTATTTCATAGAAAATACATTTCTATTGAAAAAAAAATTGGGTAAAGGTGTGGATGGATCACAGGTGTGGATCAATGGACCAAACTACATGTTACTTTTAAAAACTACATAAACTACATTACATGTAGTTAATGTAATTTATGTAGAGGGTGTAGTTTATGTAACCTATGCATGTAACTTTCAAATATCAAAGGTATGAGGTGAGGTTATAATAAATTGAAGCTTTAAAAACACATAATGTATTTAAGAAAACAGAAGAAATATGGATTTACATACATACATACCTCATACAAAGGAAAATTATTCATAATATCAATACATAGTTTATTAACGTAGTTTTCATGTGGTTAGTTAGTAGTTTATAATGTTTATATCATAATTTCTTAAACATATCAAGTTAGTGGATTAATAGCAATTTTAGACATATATTTTATCGAAAAGTGTGTCGATAAGACTAAAATAAGCTTTATGTTTTATCTTTTTCTCTTTAGAAGGGAGATGGTTTGTGTCGTAGGATGCATTACAGTATTTGGTAATTACCCAGTATTTAATATCGTGTACTTTGATATTCTTTTCTTAATTTACTGCAATTTCTTGTTTCCTATAATGCCAAATCTTGACAATATGGTGAAGGTTGAGTTTTGATCTTATTAGTTTTATACCTGTGTTTATACAAGACCAAATTAAGACTTAGTTAGTATGTGATTTATATTAATATCTTTCTTATAATATTTGTTATGTCTTAATCTTAATACTGTATTATACTTTGTCTGGAAAATAAATGTTAAAATATCTTAATTTTGCATATCCTATTCCATCCTTCCATTAGGAAAAATATGGTTTATAAATCATATATGCTAAGAAAATCACATAAATTAGGTGTAAGAATAGAGAAATCTTAAGGTAGCAGAAAAATGAATGCAATATATGTATAAGCAGAATTAAATAAGGTAACTGTTAATGTTGCTGAAGCTGATTCTACAATTTTAATTACGAAGGCTACAAGGCCTTTTAAGGCCTCCGTTTTGATGGAATGTTAAATGAAAACTATTATGAACATGACATGGAGCTACAGCATTTAAAAATTAAAAAAAAAGAAAAACTTGGACACATCCCTTTTAATTTCCGGAATTTTTAATAAAGCCCTTTTTAAACGTAGCATAATAATCTAGAGCAATTAGATTAATTATAGGAATCTAGAGTTTTATTTCTATTTAATTTGATTGACTATGGAAATACATAATAAGCGTTCACGTGTTGTGCGAAATATTAAAATAATAATATAAATAATATACCGCGTACTATGACTGAAAAAAAAATAGCGTCAGCGATGACTATGAAATGAAGATCGCTGTTATTTTATATGGGAAATGTCCTCAATCGTCATTTTCCAGCCAACTGGACTCATATATTGACAAAAAAATACTGAAAAGCACATATTTGTTTTCTACTGAAAATAATTCCAAAATAATTTGCAAACTGGCAACATCGAAGATGTGCGCATGCGTAATGTCTGTGACTATATGCAGCAATAACTCGTTTCAAGGTCAGCCACCGGATCCACACCATTACCAAAAATTGTCTTTTTTTCTGATGTTTAACTATACAAATATAATATAACTTCATACTTCCATGATAAGGTAATGGTGTGGATCCGGTGGCTGACCTTGAAACGAGTTTTTGCTGCATATAGTCACAGACACTACGCATGCGCACATCTTCGATGTTGCCAGATTGCAAGTTATTTTGGAATTATTTTCAGTAGAAATCAAATATGTGCTTTTCTGTGTTTTTTTGTCAATATATACAGTATGATCGAAAAATCAGCGTCCAGTTGGCTGGGAAATGTGACTGAGACATTTCCCATATAAATATTAGCGTCTTCATTTCATAGTTATCGCTGACGCTATTTTTTCAATCATAGTACGCGGTATATTATTTATATTATTATTTTAATATTTCGCACAACATGTGAACGCTTATTATGTATTTTTATAGTCAATAAAATTAAATAGAAATAAAATTCTAGATTCCTATAATGTAATCTATGCTATATTATGCTATACTTTATACGTTTAAAGTGCTTTATTAAAAATTCGATAAATAAAAAGGGATGTGTCCAATTTTATTTCTTTGGCACATGTCTCCATGTCCCTAATTTTAATTTTTTAACATTCCATCAAACTAAACTATGGAGGCCTTTAAAAGGCCTTTTTTTAGCCTCCGTAATTAAATTTGTAGAATCAGCAGCTGCTGTTACCCACAGTTAACTTGTTTAATTCTGCTTATACATATAATGCATTAATTTTTCTGCTACCTTGAACTATTCTTACACCCTAATTCTATATGATTTTCTTAGCATAATATGATTATAAAACCATATTTTTCCTAATGGAAGACAGGAATAGATATGCAAAACAAGATATTCAGTATTAAGCATAATAGTATTAAGATTATATTATAAATATAAGAAAGATCTTAATATAAATCACAAACTAATACAAACTAATCTTAATTTGGTCTTGCATAAACACAGGTGTAAAATTAATAAGATCAACCTTCACCATGTCAAGATTTGGCATTATAAAATTACGAGCAAAAATGAAGAAAGAATATCAAAGTACACAATAATTAAATACTGTAATGTATACGACACAAAGCCATCTCCTTCTAAAGAAAAAGATAAAACATAAAGCTATTTTAGTCTTATCAATACACTCTTCGATAAAATACCCTATATAATCTAAAATTGTATATATATATATATATATATATATATATATATATATATATATATATATATATATATATATATATATATATATATATATATATATATATATATATATATATATATATATATATATATATATATATATATATATATATATATATATATATATATAATATTATATTAAAATATTATAATCAAAGTATATTATATTAGTAACATTATAGGTAAGATGTTACCTCTATCTCCCATTGACGTGTATTGTTATGTATAAGACTCGTCATGGTAGTATTTCAAAACATCAATACATATAATCAAAACTATTGTTGCCTGTAAATAACTAAAAATTAAATAACTTGAAAGAAATAAAATAATTCTAATAAGTTTAAAACCATTAAGAAGAAATCCGTACATGATAATTTTTAATTTTAATGTAAATATATAAATAAATGTTATTATTATTACAATTTTATATATTCATAACTCTTTCAATTCACAATCTTTATTATCCTTCTTATCTTAATTTTGGATATCAAGATAAATCTGAAATTATAAAATTAATTATATAGAATTTGTATTATTATTGATTAAAAAAAAATTTTCAACTGCAAATAATTCGAAAATAAACTGCAATTTGGCAACATCGAAGATGTGCGCTTGCGTAGTATCGATGATAAAAATGTAGCAAATATGGCCTTCAAGGTCAGCCACCGGATCCACAATCCACACCTTTACCCATGATAAGAATTTGGCTTGATTCTTGTTTAAAATCTAAATTGTTTATGTTTTACAATATTTTTGTAGGTAGTTTTTAACGTTGTTTTTGTGTAGTTTCTGAAGGTAGTTTTTAAAATTTTAGTAGTTATTACAAAAAACTACGCGTAGTTTTTGGCGTAGTTTCTTGCTTCTACTTAACAACCCTGCCCTTGGGTCGCAATGACCATAGATCTATGCCACAGACCACAAATGCTGTGCTGCGCTCTCAGCTCTAGTGCTGTGGTCAAGAAATATTTAACCTCAAAATCTGCTCAAATTCAAAAAGTTCTATATATATGTTAAAAAGCGGTTTTTTATACCATTATTGTGCAGATTAAACTCTTTTTTACTTAAGTTTTAAAATGGGAGTTACATTATATCATTTTCCACCTAGTGGCCCATCCAGAGGAGCTCTACTAGCTGCGAAAGCAGTTGGCCTAGATGTTGATGTAGAAATCATAAACCTGTTTAAAAAAGAACAGTTTAATGAAAATTTTATAAAAGTGAGATCGATATTTGTGAGAATTGGATTATTGGAGTTTTAACTCAACTATAATTATCTCTAGATCAATCTTCAACATACTGTCCCAACTCTAGTTGATGGTGACTTTGTAGTTTCAGACAGTCACGCAATAGGCCCATATTTAGCAAGTGCATATGGTAAAGATGCAAGTTTTTATCCAAAAGACCCAAAACAAAAAGCCATTGTAGATCAAAGGTTATATTTTGATTGTGGTACATTGTATCCACGAATAAGAGCTATTTGTGTAAGTTACGAAACAAGTATAAAACTTTAACATATAATATATTAAGCTATAACATATAATATATTAAGCTATAAATTAGTTTCCAGTACTATTTCTGGGTGAAGACACAATTCTAGATGAACATAAACAGCCTTTAGAAGAAGCATTAGGTTTCTTAGATGTTTTTTTGGAAGGAAACAACTTTGTTACTGGTGACAAGTTAACTGTTGCTGATTGCTGTTTGGTTGCATCAGTTTCTAGTATTGTGGTAAGTGTTTTTTTTTATTAACTGGCTGAATTCATTGTTTAAACTGATTAATGTGGTATGTTATTTAAATGTAAATATTAAATAATTTAGGCTGTAGGATGGGACATATCAGCCTACAACAATGTGAAAAATTGGGTCGCTAGATGTGCTTTAGCAATTCCAGGATATTCAGAAGCTAATCAAGCTGGAGCTGATGAATTTGGCAAGCTAGTAAGAAGCAAGTTAGCCCCTGGACAGCTTCCTTAAAATTAAGGTTTTTTTAAGATTTTTTTATTTTCATATATTTTTTATAAAAAATAACAAATAAAATTGTCATTAAACACTTTATTTACTTTTAAATATTATTAAGGATACATTTTTCTGATAATAAAAAAATCCCAGCACCAAAATTATCACAATCAAGTTATAGACAAGAGAAGTCTATCTGGTATTTGGCAGCTTTTTTAAATTTATTTAAATGCTTGAGAAATCTTAAAATGTTTATAATTTTTATATGAGTTTATAAAATTAATTTATATTTCATAAATAATATTTAATAAATATTAAAAAATAATTTATGGTAATAAATATATAAAATACTTTGGTATTAATTGCATTAGTAACTAATATCTTACTAAAATGAGTATTAAGTTGCTCAAAGCATAAACAGTATAAAAATATTTGTCTTTCTACTTTTTAGATAATACATTTTGACTAAACCAACTTTAGATATTGAGAGTTAAAAAAATTCTAATGTAATTTGTATAAAATATGTATCTGACATCTAAAGCATGTTTGATCACAATTTATTATAACCTTACAATTACTAAGAGTAATAAAATTCCTTAAGAATAAGAACATTAAGTACAAAAATAGGTAATAATTTAGTAATAAATTAGTTCATATGAAGGACGGATATTGTTTTATGCATAGGTAAATATTTTGTGACATATCTACACAGAAATCATTTTGTTACACTAGATTGTTGCTTTTGCTCAACAGTATTTTCTGGCAATTCTTTCCCTGATGTTTCAATAGGAAGTATTAAACAGGCAACAGCGGCCAAAAGAGCAGCTGTTGCATAAGTGGATGTTGCAAACGTTATTGAAGTTTTTAATAGAACCTGTGCCACATATGGGGTAGCCATAGCACCTAGTCTAGCCATGGCACTACATGATCCCACTCCTACAGATCTTAATGATGTAGGATACACTTCAGGAGTATAAACATAGGCAGCTTGGAATACACCTGCTATAATACCTCTAGCCAGAAACAGCATTATTGTCAATATAGCCCTCCTATAATACACAGTCATAAGATATTAACATCAAGATGTAGATATTTATCGCTTACTTTCCAGGGCACAATACCAGAAAACTGCAACATATAGCGTAAATGACAAATTGAACAGCCATAGTTTTTTTTCTTCCAAATCTCTCTATGATGAATATTGTCATAAAAATACCTGTTAATTAATAATTATCAACTTTAGAAGAATAATTAATATTTGTATTTTACCTGGAAATTCAGCTAATGTGGTCCACAGCAAATCAATATAATCAGTTGTCTGAAGCTGTTTACAATCTGCAGCACAAGTTTCTATAGCTTGAGCAGGAATTTGTTGTTCTGAACATACTATTGATGATGTTTCAAATAATTCTGTGGTCATTAAAACTAAACCATAATAACAAAAAGCACATGAAGCCCTATAATATTCAAAAACTGCATATTTTGCCTTAAAAATAATTGAAAATTGCTTTACCAAATGAACCACAAAAGTAGTGAGGTCAGTCTTAAAGAAGGTACAAGAAGATCTCTGAATCGCCCTCTATGAGGAGCAGAAGTCATTGCATCATCAACAACTAACCTTCCTAATAACATAGGTTTTCCATTATCTTTTGCAATTTTCTCAAGAGTTTCTAAGGCTTTGTCTGTTTGGCCACTAGCAACATGATACCTTGCAGATTCTGGGAGCCACTATAATTACAAGAAGCCCTTAGGATAAAAACATTTTAAAACTTTTTGGTGGTATACATTTTACACTTACAGGGCATATTAAAGCAAATGCTAGTAAAGGACCAGTGGACAATGCTAATAACCACTGCCAACCTAAAGTTGGCATAACAATAAGTGCTAAAGCTACTTCAAAACATGCACCTAATGCCCAGAAACACTGAAAAATTTATAAAAAATAAACTTCAAAAACTAAACATAATGCATGGACAACTTACATCAAGCAAAACAACACATTTGGCTCTTTGTTTTGTTGGTAAAAACTCTGCATATAATGTTACACTAAAAGTATAGGCGATTCAAGCAAATTTCAAATGCCTTTATCTGATATAATGTTACTGTATTTTACTTACGATTGAGGTGTACATCCGATAGCAAATCCTACTAAACCTCTTAATAGTAACATCCACATAAAGCTAGGAGCTATTGAACTTAATAATCCATAATAAAATAATAAAACAGCACATAAACTAAGTGCCTAAAATAGGATTGTTATAAAAAGTTCTAATTTTTTTAATGAAGCATACATGTTTACGTCCATATCTATCACTCAAATTTCCCCAAAATGTAGATGAAAGCATCATTCCCAGAAAAACAATAGTTGTAGTTAGCGCTTGTTGATATCTGAAAGAATCAGTTTGGTGTGACAAGTGATATTAGTAGAAGATACAAATTTTTACCTTGTAATATGCCAACTGCAATGTAAGGCGGGAGATAAGATTGAAAGAATAGTCATCTCCATACTGTCAGCCATCCAACAAAGACCGGTCCATAAAGATAACTTAACTTGAAACCATCCAAATCCTAGAGCATTTACAGCCTGAGTAACTGTAAATGTATCTAAAAGACAGAAGATATATTGAACGTGAAAATATGAATAATATATTGGCTAACACACTACTAAAAGTTGTAAAAAAATATTAATTGCAGTATTACCGTCTGGGACTACTGACACTGAGGCCATTTCAATTTCTTGAGGAATAGTTGTATCTGGATCGACAGGTGCATTTCTTGGCTGAGATATTAAGTTACCTTCAATATCTTGATATCCCTTTGTTCTTTTCGAAACCATATTAAAATTGGTTAAAATAAATTAAAATTTCCTATTGTTTACGTGGATAGTCCATATAGTCATTTAACTTCAGGAGTCCATAACCTATAATTTAAATAATGACATTCAAAGTCTGCAACCAGATATACAGAAAATTATGTTTTTACCCAAAATGTGTTATAATTTTATTATTATCCTTACTCATTATCTATGTAAATGTTTACAAAGTTTTTTGTGACCTTAAAATGTAAATGTCACTAAGGTTAAAATGTTTATAAAACTGAATTCTATATTTAAACCCAGTATAAATTTAAAATTTCGGTTATAGGTATCACATTTTTTATAAGATTTATTTACCATTTATAATCAGGAAATTTTCTTTAATTTGAAATTATTTTGCATTATCTATTATTCAAATATATATTTTTATCAATAAGTCAAAGTGGCATAACTTAATGTTTACTTAAAACATAAGCTTATTTTTGTATGTTATCTTAATAAGCCCTATATTTAATATTCATATTGCTAATGAAATGTTTGTAATTAAATATCTCTTATCTAATAATTAATGTTTTATACACGAAGTCAGCAGCATAATTTTGTAGTTGTATTAAAACAAACCGACAACTGAGATATAATAAAATGGTAAGTTTGATGATCTAGGTGTTTCAAACAATTTAAATGGGTACCTACTTAATATTTATTGAATATTACTTTTATACTTTTTTTACTTTTAGGCCAATTTTACATTCAGAGGCCTTATGGCTCCAGTATTTACAGTTTTTAATAAGGATTTGTAAGTTTTTATTTAATTTAAAAAAAATTGAAAACATATTTCCTATCAATATGAGAAAGATGTTGGCCTTTTCCAGAAAACACTTGGCACCAAGAAATGTAATATAGTAGTTTATACATATTTTTTGCAAAACTAACGTCAAAAAGGCATCAGGTGTTTATTTTTAAGAAGAATCAACTTATTTAAAAAACTATATCTAGAAAAATTTCTATGGTCTGTCCAACGACTCATGAAAGATTTCGACAGACTAAGAAGTGACAGAAAATAGATTTTTTTTGTGAATTAAAATGAGAGACACGACTGTCACTGTCAAGATCCTTTCTATGGACAGACTGTACAGGGTAAATCTTAAATAAGTGCAAATATTTTTAGGGGTAGTATATTTCAACCGCAGAAAACAACCCCGTCTATGAGGTTTTTTCGCAAAAAAGAAATTTTGGAATTTCTTGAAAAAAAAAATTTGGAATTTTTTTTAATTTCTATTAAAAAACATAATTTCATCATAATATGGCAACATAGGTAGTAGATTAAATTTACAAAAATGAAAACCGAGGAAAGGTCCAGTGGTTCTTAAAATTTAAGCGATGTTTTTTTGAAGTTTTCAAAGTTTATCTCGGTTATTTTGGACTTATTTGAAAAACGGTAAAAAGAAAATATGTTTCTTTTAACGAGATCTATCTACCCTGAAAATATTTGTACTTATTAAGACTCACCCTGTATATCTAGATTCTTTACTATTCCTAGATTAATAACACAATGTGATCAGACTTTATAAGTATATACTAAAATTAATTATTCTTGGGCAAATTCTTCTGGGTAATGAAGCTTAGTTTTCATGCATCCGAATTTTTAATGCTTTCTGTGATAAAATGATGTTATTTAATAATAAATTAAATGTTAAAACCATAGGATAAGCAGAGGGATAAGTAAGTTAAGACCATTAGGCTAAAACCTGTCAACGGATTACAACGTTAAAACTATGGACGGATTCAAGAAACGGGAGCAAAAACCGTCCAGATTTGAATGCATATAAAAACTAGACTTTAGATTCGATTTTTTTATCTGATATTTTAAACCCGCTTGATCATAGAACTTTTTGATCATAAATTATGTTGAATGGTCGAGTCCATAGTTAAAAAATGTCGAGACAGTTGAGATTTGGTAATCTGTAATTATCTCTCCTTCGATTTTGCTTTGATATCAATTAAAAAAAGACAACATGACTGATAGTTGGTAGTTACAAAATAGAATATTTTTATTTGTTCATACTATAATATCTCATTTAAGACAATGGAAAAGTTTAATCAAGACTTTATTTGTTATTGGGCTGTTTTTAAGATGAAAAATTGTTCAAAACGTTTGTTATTTAAATAATCTTATCGCTGAAGTAAATTAAATTATGTAATTACTATCCGTATGAGATAAATATCTAAGTTATTTAAAAAAAGTTTCACAATATAAATATTATTAAATTTAGATACTTAAGCCTAATAACACACAGATTAGGTACCTATCCTATAAGTATACAGATAAAAATCTTGTCCCTAATTCGTGGTACGAAAATTGTTTTTATGATGATGTGCAAACGAGTAAAATTTCCTGAGCGCAAAAATAAACTCGCGTAAAATAACAATAAACAGCGTAATAGAGAGATATCGCTAAACCGAATAGCGTGCATGGACGTTAATAAGGCCAGGTGTTATTTCCTTTACGTGAGGTGGTATTAACTCTCTTCATTTAGAGTTATCGGATAGGAAAGAATTCTGTTCGTCTATTTAAACTTAACCGCGTCCGCTATTTAAACTTAACCTAACTTTGAATTTAAAACTTTGAAATTGTTTTGTTTACTAGGTATTTTAAAACTAAAGGGCTAAAGTGCTTATTTCCAGTGATTTATTGTTCAACGTCTGCCAATGGGTTTAGGGTAACAAGCAACAAATTCTCTTAGAAGGGCTAAGTCGTCATCTGTCGTCATCTGCTGTAAACCTAAGCCTCTTTATAGGTTCTTTAATATTGGAAGAGGTGGAATAATCCATATTGTGGGCCGTATTTAATTAAAACTAATCCCAGCTACTTAAATATCAAATTACCTAATAAAACTAAAGTAATAATTCAAAACAATTCAAACATAACCCAAAATAAAAGATCTCGCCGGCCGGCCCCGGTTGTCAAATACCCGCACATGCCCATTTAAGCAATTTTTAAACGTTATTTAGAAATACCGCTTGGTGTAATTGACCAGCAAATTACGTCAGGCGGTAACGTTATTAGCGGGTGTTGCGTTAAAAATTGACTCGCGCATATCGTAACCCTGATAAGGTACGCGTAAATACTGCATGACCAAGACTACATGACGCTATTCGGTTTTCCGATACAGTGTTGCCAGAACTACGGATTAATCCGTAGATTGACGAATTTCGGATATATTCTACGGACATACGGATTTTTTTCCAATAATACGGATTTTCAGTTATTGAACAATTTAACATAATATTATTTGTTTAAAAAAGAACAGCGTCACAGTTGCCTTGGAAATGAAGATCACTGTTATTTCATATGCAAAATGATGTGGTAAATGTTCATTTCCAAGCCTACTAAACGACTTTTATCATACGAAATATGTAGTACCTATACCCATATACCCATAAAAGAATATTTGCAAATTAAAAATTTTATCTATTACCATCGATTAATTGACAATACTAATCATAGAAAGAAATAATAACTGATATTATTTGCCTGTCGGATCATATTTGTGTAATAATAAAAAATTGTATTGGTTTACAATACTTGTTTGTCTCATCTGTTCTTGTCCATGTAATACTACGTAGCTAGTACGTAGATATTGAGAAGTAGTAATGTTTTGTTATTTTTAAAATGTTTATTTTTGATATTCATTTTATGTTTAACATGAATTAATGATCAATAAAATACAGAGTGAGGCTTAAATAAGTACAAATATTTTCAGGGGTGGTAGATCTCAATAACATATTTTCTCTTACCGTTTTTTTTTGTATTTGCACCCCTATGTATCGTGACCATGTAAGTGTAACCATATCAGAGATTATGAAATTTTTAAAAAATGTAGGATTTTTATCATATTTTTATGCGAAAAAATCTCATAGACGTGTTCCTGGGGTCTAAATATACCATCCCTGAAAATATTTGCACTTATTCAAGACTCACCCTGTATAAATACGGATTTTTTTATTCATCTACGGATATTTCGACCAACGAAATACGGATATTACATATTTTCATCTGGCAACACTGTTTCGATATCTCTCTAATAAATGTGCCGGTCAGGGTGCATCCAGACTATTCTAAAAACGGCGTATCGGCGTAACGGCGTAATGACCTTGAATTGATTTCCAGTAATTCTATTGGCTGAAAAATTCATCTGTCAGAAATTTTATCTGTCAAATTCAACTGTCAAATTCATCTGTCAAAAATTTCCGCCAATAGAATTACTGGAAATCGATTCAAGGTCGTTACGCCGATACGCCGCTTTTAGGATAGTGTGGATGCACCCCCAGGCGCTGTGCACAATTTTACAGGCCATAAGTGGGCGTGCTATGTGCGCAAACTAGTAACCTAACTAGTGCCCGATTCCGAAAATTGGAACCACGAAAAATAATAAAGAAAAAACAAAGTCTATAATCTGTATAATCTGTGCTAATAATCACTATGCGTTGATGCGTCGATGAGCACGCATAGTGAGTACGATGATGATGGGGTTCATTGATATGATTTGTTAGTTCGTTTGGAAATTGGAAGAGCAGCACATATGCTGAATGTCGCCAACTTATTTAAATATTTTTTGCATTATTTATGTATAATTTATATACCGGGTGCGTCTCAAAAGTCGCTCATCTCTATAACTTTTTCATATTTTCGGATAAAAAAATGAGATTTGGTATGTTAGTATATATAACATAAATTAGGATTGATTGACGTATTCAATTGTTTTCGGTCACTTCCTGCTTCACCGGAAATTACTACAACGTTTGATTTTTAAATGGCCCGTGATGCCACCCTCGGTATTTTTTTATTTGATAGCAAATGTCATTCTTAATAGAATGACATATCATATGTCAACTTTAGACCTTCTCGCTTTAAAAAAAATCGTATTTTAAATTTTAATCTAGAGTGCCATGGCTATGTTAAAAACACTAATTTTTAATCAAGGAGTCGTGGAAAAATGGATTTGATTGTCTAATATTTTTCGTGTCTTTTCCTGGCCAGTTAAAAGATGCCCAAATTGTATTTTTTATCATATCTCAACTTTTTCAAATGGAGCGAGGGTGGCTCAATATCTGGAAAACGAATTTTTTTACGAATAATTTTATATCATGCACTTGGTATTTCTAGTCAAAATATCGTTATGAACCGAATGTTAAAATTTTAAATAAACCATATGCGAAAATGTTAAAAGTTGACATGTCATACGTCACTATATTCAGAGTGCCATTTTTATCGAATAAGATAAAAAAATACCGAGGGGTCATTTAAATATCAAAAGTTGTAGTCATTTCCGGTGAAAGAGAATGTGACCGAAAACAATTGAATACGTCATTCAATCCTAATTTATGTAATTAGTATATTACCTACAAACTACCTTCAAACCTACTGAATCTCGTGTTTTTTTATTAGATAATATAAAGTGAGCCACTTTTGAGACGCACCCGGTATTAGGGTAAACCTGTTGGTTGTGGCACAGAATATCTAGCTACGCAACAGAAAAATACTCGAAATGAAAGAGCTAAATTTGCACAAATAAAATACTAGATGGCGCGACAATATCATAATCAGAATATAATTGGAAATTTTCAACTTTCGGTTTTGGATCGACGTAGATCGACGGCACGTCGACGGCCTTGAAGCTCGGCTTAAAATGCACAGTTGCCAGATTCAAAGAGATTTTAATTGGCCTCCCATTCTTTTTCTGGTGTATAATAATTCCTTTCTATTCTTCGTTTCTTGTCAGATACACTTATATT